AGCAGCAGCAACAGCAACAGCAGCAGCAACAGCAACAGCAGCAGCAACAGCAACAGCAGAAGTGGCGGCGGCGGCCGCGAGCGAATGCCCCACACGCTTCCTCCACGCCAAACACATCAAGTGGTTCCCACGCCGTGTGTTGTTCCCACGCTCCTTGTTGTTCCTACGCTCCTTGTTCTTCCCACGCTCATTGTTCTTCCCACGCTCATTGTTCTTCCCACGCTCCTTGTTGTTCACAGGCCTCTTGTTGTTCTAACGTCTCGTGTTGTTCCCACGTGCGATCTACGAAAGCAGATGAACGAACGACAACCGCGGAACTGTGGAACGTGTCCGACGATCGAACGCCACGAACGAGTGATGAACTCACGGTGATTGAACTCCCCGTGTATGAACATATAGAGGAACCTCTTGATCTCAGCATCCCCAAGCGGTGTGCTCGGGAAGCTGGGGTCAGCGAATCAGCAAGGAGCAAACAAGCGAACAGTTCGCATCGACAAACAGTGTTGGTGGGGTTGCGCGGGACAAAGTTCTCGAGTTTTCCTGGCGATGCTCGGACACATTATTCTGCGATAAAAACTCTAGAGGGCACCACTAGTGAGCTAGGGGGCGCCACCGCTGACTCATTCCCGGGAAATATTCTTGCCGATGGAGCATCGGGTGACGACGGCTACCAGAACCTTTCGCCGGAAGTTGTCTGGGATGTTACGTCATGTGATGACGAATTGTCAACGGATGGCAGCACCTCCCACTCGTCCGACAGCGGCAACGAATCAGAAGCTCGCGAAGCGATTTCAGCCGAAACGGAAGTTGGCAGAAATTTTAAAAACTATGACCGAGAGATGGCGGGCGCGTCGATCGGCCGTTGCTACACCGGACGTGATGTGGGTATCGGTCGTTGCTACACCGAATGTATCAAGGTGTTGTCGCTGGGGGAGAAACGCGAATACTTTGAATGTAAACTGTGTGATATGTTGTTTAAGCAACGAGAGATGTACAGCGCTCACATGGACAGCCATGGATCGCTGTCTGGTCTGCTCTATACTACCTGACCATGTTATCTACCAAGATACACTACTCATGCACGGCAACTTAATTATAACGATTCAATAATAAAATTATGGTAAATAAACACGAAATGTATTCACTACCAATGTCTTAATGTTTATTTACTCTTTTTCGCCTATTATTGCCGATAATTTCCTGTAAATGCCGTTTAAATGCTCCTCTCCAACACACAAGTACACCGCACGCACGCTGCTGTGCACAAACAACAAAATTAAAGAGAACAACAACAAGAACTAACTTTTAGGGCGGATTATGTCGGGCTTGCGAGCCGACTCGACTGGAAGCAACTGGATTTCGAGAAACTGGAAGCGATCGGCAGCGACTAGTTGCGTTCAGTTGCCCATGTTCTATTCCGAGCAACTAGTGGCGGCCAGTCGCAGGCAGTCGCCTCGCAGTCGACCGACCTAAGCACTGCAGTCGCAGTGAATTGCAGCAGTTTGCTTCAAGTCGAGTCGGCTTAGCAAGCCCCGACATTAACCCCTTTAACCTTTAAGCTGATCCACGTTGGTGACTTGCTGACCAGATGAAAAAACGGAGTCTAGAAACAGGTTAGATAAGTTCGATTACATGGCAGATGAATACATTTAATTGAATGCTTTTCCATGTCTCTTTCATAGCGACGTCAAGTAGGAAACTAATAATTCTTGTTAGGAAATATAGACAACCCCTGCCTCTGCCAGCAAAGCTGGCCGCCACTATGGTTGCAATTGTAAGAAAATGTAACGAGCAGTACTACTATCTCTACGTTGTTTACAGACGTGTGTTGTGGATAGATCGAGTCGATTGGTTACAAGCCATAGAAATAATATGAACTCAGACATCTGCTAGTATATTTTCTATGGTCTCAGCGCCCAGGGTGGATAGAATCAGGCGCCGCGGGAGCGTCGTGCTGTATATATATATAATAATATATATATATATAGTTGTGTAGTGTGTGTGGTGTCCCGCTGTGTGTGTGTGTGTGTGTGTGACGTTGCTGTGTGTGCGTAGTGTGTGTGTGTGTGCGCTGTTCGCGTTTTGTGTGTGCGTGCGTGTGCGGTGTGCCGTGTGCGTGTGCGTGTGCGTGTGTGTGTGTGTGTGTGGCGGTGTGTGTGTGTGTGGCGTGTGTGTGTGTGTGTGTGTGTGTGTGTGGCGCGGTGCGCGGACGCGTGTTGTGTTCATGTATGGTGCGGTGTATATATATATATATATATTATGATATATTATATATATATAGATACATGAAAGATAAACAGGTGTAGGCCGGATAGTTTATGGTGTCCGGTGAGAGGGTTGATGTCGCTAGCGGTGTGAGGACAGGATAAGAACAAGTCTACGGATGTTAGAGTGACGTGCGATATACTTACGTAGCGTCTCGTGCCTTAATCTGCCGCGTACAAGTAAAGCAGATACACACGCGCACAAACACACACACACACAGCACACACACCAGGGCTCACACACGACATCACACACGACACACACACACACAGCACACCCACGCAGCGACGAGCACGACCCACACACGGGCACGCGACGCACGGACGCACACACGCACACGACAACACAGCACGCACACACCACACACACTGCACGACACACAGCCCCACAGCACTCACACACAGCACCGCAGCGCACGCACGCACACACGCAAGCACGCAACGCACGGCACTAGCATACACACCACACCGCACGATACGACACACACCACACATACGCACGACACACACACACGACACACACACGCCCGCACGCACCACACAGCACACACTACAACGCACGAACACACACACACACCTGGCGAGCCCCGCAGCAGGCACACCACCACGTCACACACGCACGCGCCACACACACAACACACACAGCAGGCACGCATGCGTACGCAGGCAGACTACACACACACACACATATACATCACAGCCCTGATTGCAGGCAATCGATCGCTGGGAGAGAGCACTCAGGTGATCGACTCACGTTGCCTTTCTCCTTCACGACAGCGATATTACCGAGTTGCTGTTGTGCGAGGTCTGTCGTTCTCTAGTACGTTCATCTATTACGACCCACAATAATCCCTAACACGAAACACCGCTGACGTCTTATATCCAATATTCAAATACGTCTTATATCGAATATTTGGTCAAAATAAAAACGTTAAATTTTTTTGAATTATTTAGTCGACAATTTTTTATTTATTTTTCGAATGATACGAGTAATTACATAATTACATAATTACGTAATCATATTTATTAGGCATGATTTTGTTAGCGCGTATGTTATGGTATCAGTGTGTGCATCATGGTGTCAGTGTGTACATCATGGTGTCAGTGTGTACATCATGGTGTCAGTGTGTACATCTTGGTATCAGTGTGTATATCATGGTACCAGTGTGTACATCATGGTACCAGTGTGTACATCATGGTATCTGAGTTACATCATGGTATCAATGTGTATATCAGTGGTACAATTTTGTGTAGCATCAATGGTGCCAGTGTGTACATCGATGGTAAACCAGTGGTGTACATCATGGTATCGTGAGTTATCATCATGGTACATGTGTATAGTCATGGTATCAGTGTGTACACATGGGTGCCAGGTGTACATCATGGTACCAGTGTTGTTATCATCGATGGTATCTGGAGTTACATTCATGGTATCCATGTGTATAGTCATGGTAACTCAGTGTGTACACAACTGGTGCCAGTGTGTTATCATCATCGGTACAGTGTGTAACATCATCGGTACTGAGTTACATCATGGTATCAATGTGTATATCATGGTACCAGTGTGTACATCATGGTGCCAGTGTGTACATCATGGTACCAGTGTGTACATCATGGTATCTGAGTTACATCATGGTATCAATGTGTATATCATGGTACCAGTGTGTACATCATGGTGCCAGTGTGTAGCATGCATAGGAGTACCAGTGTGTACATCATGGTATGTACACATCAGCGTCAACGCGCATATCATGATGCATATGAGTGCACCATGCCATCGGCACGCACATCATGGTGTCTGCGTGTATCATCACAGCACGCTACTATCTGACGTGGGGACGTCACGGCGGCGTTGTTTCGACATGAGATCTAAGCATAGCTGTACGGCTGATAGGAAGTAGTCGCTGCTGCTGCTGCTGCTGGGGTTAGGGTGCATCATGACAGGTATGACATCGACGTCTGCCTGAAGCTTCGTCTTCTTCATGAAGCTGTTAGGAGAGACCTCGACGACAATGCCACCAGGGGGCAGGCCGAGCTGTCGCTGTCTCAGCATCACTGGTCTCACCTACGCCACGAACGCAACACGTTATACGACATGTAACATGCGCATGCAACACGCTATACGACATGTAACATGCGAATACAACACGTTACACGACATGCAACATACGTCTGCAACACGCTATACGACATGTAACATACGTCTGCAACACGCTATACGACATGTAACATACGTGTGCAACACGTTATACGACATGTAACATGTGCATGCAACACGCTACACGACATGTAACATGCGCATGCAACACGCTATACGACATGTAACATGCGCATGCAACACGTTATACGAC